CCAAGAATACCAATTGGATTTCCCAACACATTGCAACAGATTGTGTAATTAGTGGTAAAACAAACAGAAATCACCTAGCTAATCAACAGGGAATACAGATGGAAAAAACAATTAAAGTAATCATAAGCCATCAATATTTACTTCACACAGCAAGTTTTTAATTGTCACTTAAAGACAATCCAACACAAGGGCATAATTTAATTCAATTCGATTTTTAACTAGGGATAGAAAGACTATTTTAAATTGTTCATGTCAAACATAAAGATTATTAGCTGCTTCTTAATTTGTCCGGCAGTGAAGTATTCGAAGTAGAAATCTTAGAGCAAGTGCTTTCCAGGAAACTATCTTGGAAAATGTAATATCTGTATTTTTAAGCATTCAGTGAAAATGATGGTGCATTTAATGACTGAACATCCATGAGCAGTGCTTAAACAAGCAAACAGGAAATTTGGCAGCAAACAGGAAATTTGGAAAGCTACTCAATGGGGAATACAGATCTCTACGTACAAACTCAGAAGCTCCAGGCAAACACCAAAAACATGTTGTGCTATAAATTCACAAAAGTATGGGGGTGTGCGAAAGGTACATATTATTTTACTTCCATAAAAGCATCTACAAAATCGTGCCTACTGGATTTATTGAATCACTCGTTTGAGATGTCTGGCCTCCAAATCCATTGCTGAACCTTGCTTGGACTACTTTGCAAACAGACACACTGCTTAAAGCCGTTGTGATCGCCTGCCTCCATGGTGGCAGAGCAGGCTCTTTGGGAAAAGGGACGATGGAAGGAGCAATCTTTCTCTGTGGTGACTTAGCTTGAGAGAAATTTTTGCATCAGAGCAAAAATTGAGAACTAGAGATGATCTTCCCCTCCCTGCTGCAGGACACAGTGTTAGGGCCCATTGATGCAGATGGCTGAAGGGGAAGGAGGCTGCCAGGATCTCTAAAAAACTAATTGCTTAAGAAAATAGCTTTCCCCCAAGTACTAGATCTTGAAAAATGGAATAATCTTAGAAAGAATTGCTGGAGAAACCCTCATCTCTAAAATCAGTAAATGACAATCAGGGTTTGTTTTTAAAGCCTGGATTGCGACTAACTTTTGGACAATTAAATTGAACCCAAAAGCTGTAATGGAGGTGATGGATTTGTGATAATGGGTTTTTGTAGAGAGATGGCATTAGTGCCCATTTAAGAAGATTTTTCTGTGTATGCCACAGGCAATGAAGCTTGGCTGTGACTTTTTTTCCTGAGCATTCTTCCTAATGAGTTAGGGTCTTTACACCCCTTTCCCGAGAGCTTTCTCGTGACAGCTTCTGCAGGGTACTGATCTCACCCCTCAGCCTTCAATGCATGAATAGCGAGCAAAGAAGCTGTTGACTGCAACACTTCCAGTCTTTAAATGATGCTAATCTTCAGACTGATGCCTTTCCCGAACTGACCACTGCAATGGAATAACCCATCTGCTGTCAGCAGAGACTGGAATACAGTTCAGAATCAACTGGCTGAAGCTCAAATAGATAAGCTCAAGATAATATTTATAGGTCAGAGGAAACAATTGAAAGGAACATCAAACATGACACCAGCATGCACAACCGGTGAAGTTTATCTGTCCCTTGTTTTAAACCCCAACTGTCTCTGCCTGTCGCAGGACATGGCTGGTTGAGAGCACTTTTCAGAAACATTTGTTTTGAATCCATGCACTTCCGTCCCTGGCCAAGTTCAGACTCCTTGTTTAATCTGCTTTGTATGAAGAGGTTTTGATTGCATGAATGCTTGGAAAACTTCTATTCTTTGTGAAAATATTTGCCTGTGAATCCTAGCAAAGAGGACTGTGCACAAACACCATTCTTGATGGTGATTCTGATGTCTGTCTACACTTCAGATATACTATGGTGTCTGCTGTTCCCTCATTTGAAAAGAGCTGTGGACTGAGTGCCCACCACTCCAACTCATGAGAACAGATAGGCTATATCTGCAGTGCAGAAGAGGGGTACTTTTAGCAGTATACTTGTTACTTGCAGGGTGGTAACATATAGATGTACATTAATGGTGTTTATTTGAGTATATCCAAATTTCAGCAGACATCTAAGGAATCTTTCCCAGGTGCCCTAACCTGAAATGAGCCTTCGTTTTGTGGTTTAATTACTCCTTTCTCCGTTCCTTTCAAAGAAATCTGTTGCAGGGTTGTTGATAGGACAATATATTGCAATATATTTAAAAGCACCTTCTTATGGTTTTGTTACGCTACCACACTTCTCTGAGATGTAAAGAAGCCCGTTATCAGAGATCATCCTCTAGGGATTCTACATCCAGCAGAAATAGCTCTCAGTTTGTGGAATACTGTGTGTTTTGATGTTCAGATTTTGCAAGACAGAATTTTCTTTAGTAATCCACAATTTTCAGATGGAGCTTTTGCTGTTCCACTGGCCCAGATCATTGTCAAGGGTCTTTCACAAGGCAGGGTACATACACACACACACAAAATATGCTTATACCCCCTCTGGGTTCACTTCTCGTTTAGAAATAGTGAATACTTGCAAATTTTGAGCTGGTTTTATGAATTATTCACAACAGAAAAAGGATTCTGAGTTGCATTTGTACAATGAGGAAACACAGATGATAGATGGTTTCACATGTCCAATGAAAAATCAGCCATCACAGCTTGAAGTTTGAATACTGATACCAAACTGCTAATGAATAATTTGCAGATCAGGAATTTTTAAGTGAATAATTTTAAACAAATAAATTTGAGAAAATCATACAAGTGATTCATCTGCTCCTTTTGGAGCAGCTAATTCACCCATTCACTCCCTTCTGCAGCTCAGTTGCAGTGATTTGGTTCTCAAAGGATCAAAAAGAAAATGTACATTGAAGTAAAAAGTGTGCTGGAGAAATGATAACATGTTACTTTGCCAATTCAGAGTGGCAGGGGCTGTGAGCAATAGCGTAGAAGAAAAGCATCTGTTAAACTGCTAAAAATATAGTACCAGGTTCTCATAATCAGCGTTGGGAAATGACTTTGAAGAAAAGAATGGGGCATGGGGAAAAGCTTTATTCACTGAGAACACTAAAGGGCAAGTGATTTCCTAGAGTCAATCAATAACTAAACCAACTCAAGGGTGGAATAACTTTTTGGTTAGATTGGAATCCTGCACAACCAACATTTAAATGTGAGTTAAGAAAATTAAAAACTCTGGGTCAATAAGAAGGCTCTGGGGTAGATTTTCTGGGGATAAGTGGAGTCCCAGGGACCTGTGGTCCCCTTTCCCCTATAGCACTGTTTTATGCCATGTGTGCTCTGGATGTGTGGCAGGAAAGGTGAAGCCCCTTTCTGCAGCCAACATGTGGCTGCCTCTGCAGTCTGCCATTATACTCACAAATCCCACCATTAAAAGGTAGCTAAACTTCAGGGTTATATACTGACTCCACATTCTTGTGTAGCTCCTGTTCCAAGGGTTTGGGGTTTGGGTTTTTTTTGCACAGAGGACAGAATTTAGCTTTATTTTTAGTCTTTTTGGTATTAATTAGATGTCATGCTACAAAGTATATATTTACAACAAGTATAGAACTCATCTTAAATTGTTCGTGATGCAGCAGAGCTCCAAACTTACAGTTGTGATGATATTCAGCCCTCATCCATCCCTTCTAGTCTTCAGAAGCTCATTAAAACAGTAACTCTGATAACAATTTCCTGGAAGCCCATGCAGTACTTTAGGTGAGACCTATTAGTCCCATTTTACAGATGGAGAAACCAGGAAAGAAAAGCTGTGTCACTCGACCTAAACCACAGTAAGCACAGTGTTCAGGGTTGGGCTATAACTTAGGAACTGGTGGTTTCCAATGTTGTGGTTAGATAATTAAACCAGGCCTTCCTCTTCTGTAGAAGCTAATCTGTGAAAAAATGAGTGCCTTCCCTTTAAGAGGTTTCCAAGCATGTATGCAAAGAGGAATTTATGATCTACAATTTATGAAAATAACTTCCTTTTCATAAATCAATTTATTAAGCTCTGGAGAAGCTTCCAAAGGCTCTGATCCAGCAGTGCACTTACACTTGTCCATAACTTCAAACAAGTAAATTGTCCCATTGAAGTGCTTTCCTGGACTGGGGCCAAAGAAAATGCAATTCTCCCCTGAGTCAAGGTTCAGATATAAAATAGGGAAAAATAATTTGTCGAAAGTTTAATAAGTTATACAGGCATGGCAAAGCTCTGCCAGACTTCCACATTAAAACTTCCAGCTGATAAGAAATGGCCTCAGGGAGATAATTTCCTCCTTATTGATACAGTGTGATGAAAGGTTAAACCTCATCCAGGCAATGTGAAACTTCAGAGGGGACATGCCTAGTACTAGCAACACTCCTGGGGCATCAGCTCCCTTTTGTTCAACTACTGATTGCTTTTACAGATTATCCTTGTAGGAGAACTAAGCATCGTGCTATTTCAGGGATTTGGAGTATTTCGTAAGGTTTTGCAATAGAGAAATCATTTTGACAAGAGGACTATTCACACCTTCTTCTGGACTCCTTCACTGGTAAATACTTGGGAGACAGTACTGAACATACTGTTATGCGCCGCTGGCAGCCTCACTGGGAAGCTGCGCCAAGGACAACTTCTCTAAGCTGCTGAAAGACTTGTGTGTCGGGGTCATGTGTGGAGCAGTCGGAGGTAACCGGACCTTGTGCTAGCTGTGAGCGTGGAACAAGATGTTAAATGCTAAAAGAAATAAAGAGTTCCTAGGGATGAGAAGGGAATGTGACTCAAATTAGCAGGGTAACACCTCTATGTAATGAGACAAAGAGGTATTCCCTGCTCTGGCAGGCTGATTCCTGGGAATGCACAGTTACATATCAAGACCTCCTTCAAGCTCTGCCTAGAATTATTGCTCAGAATCACAGTGACAGTTGTCATTTTGCAAACACAAAGCTGCCAGACTTAATGGCCCATTCTCATGCATTATAAAATCCAACGCAAGAAGCATTGTAATTCCAAAATGATACTTACATCTACAATAAGGAAGTCAAGCCAGCACCAGGCATTGGTGAAATACTTCTTGAAGCCATAAGCCACCCATTTCAGGAGCATTTCCAAGACGAAGATGTAAGTGAATATTTTGTCAGCATATTCCAACATGGTTTTTATGTTTTTTCGATCTTCAAGGTAAATATCTTCAAAAGCCTGGAAGTACAAAAGACTGATTAAAATTTCTCCTAAACTGTGTTGGAAAGCATAGGTGCTGCACTGTGAGTCTGTGGTATTGTTTGATGGGATATCACATACTGACTGTAATTTCTCATATATTTGAATGTTACCATCAGAAAGAGTACACAGGCACAAAGAGGACTGACCCTAACCTAATAGAGATCTGTTCAGTTTTCCTTTATAATGGTCATATGCTTAAATATCTATCTCCGGTCTCTATGGCTGTACTGACTAGATATCTTTTGAGTTTAAGAAGAGCTTAAGCACCCTAAATTTGGGAATGTAAATCTGTGACGTGCCCAGCCACTGCTACTAGGAGACCTCAGATGTCCCAGGGTATACGATCCCTGTTTTTAGGAGGCAGAATCTGACCCTTACATTTAGTTAAATAACTTATTCCTAATGATGACAAATTGGGTTATTATTCTGCCTGTGTTATAGAGTACCAGAGTTCCCTGGCTTCTGTTCAGTCATTGCATTTCAGGTAGCTATAGCTATCTGCCTCAAGAAGTGCTCATTATTATATACTTAACAGAACAATTATGTTTTAAAGGTCAAGGTATCTACCTACCCATCTCAACTGTCTAACTAATCTTATGCAGGGCATTATCAGAAGACCTTCAGTATCTGTATCAAATACAAGCAACTTAATATCCCTTTTAAGTACTTAAGATATAAAACAATATGCCTACTAAAATAAAACAAATAAAGTTGTTCTGCAATTTAGCTTTCATTTTATAATGTATGTCAAATAAAAGGCATGAGGGTTGCATACTTATGGCCTGTTTTGGGGCTTCTAAGTCAAGCAGTGGCTACAATCTTCTTCCCCAGCTACTCTAGTGACTCTCATTACACAAGCTGCTCCTGTGTCTCTGTAACCTGGATAACCCAAGCTTTGATATATTATTCTAATCCCATTGAATGACCCAGAGTACTTGGCAGTGAGAAACAACTTTATCTAAGACAGTCTGTGCTAATCATCTTGATTTTCTGCATTTACAGATTTCAAGATCTGTAGCTACTTTCTGAGGAACTTCAGAAAGTTAGCAAACACATAGTGCCTGGAGATAGAAGTGTGTTACTTGTCACTCAAGCAGTCACGTTGCTTTTTTGCCTGCCAGGGAACAGTAATTAAACTGACAAGAGAACTCTGGCAGCCTGTGCCAAAGCTTGTCCATTTGTCCCCACACTTTGGGGTTATGTTTTCTCTGCAACTCGGTCTCCTATCTTGCGTTCAAAAATGATATTTCAAGGGTGTGAAAGAGCTGTTGGAGAAAGCCACAGAAAACAATACACAGAGAGACTGGAGTTTTATCGCTTTTTGTAGGGACTCACTCACTTCATCAGATGACTTGCTGTACTTTGCAATTACTGCAAAAATAACAACAAACTATGTAAAGTGATTTCCTTCTCTTGCTCCTTTGCTCCCCCTATTTTCTACGAAATTGTCAAAAAATACATTGCATTTTGACAACTAAAAGCACACTGTGAGTCAGGAAGAAGCTTAATAAGGGATGAAAAATATGCTACCTGTATGCCGTGGGTGCACTGTACTTCTGCACAAGCTATGGTTGTTACCCAAATGACAAAATTCTAGTGCTTTGCATGTTTTCACAGTGCCAGTGGATGAAATCTTTGCAGTATAAAACATCATTAAGGGTTATCTTTTTCTGCTTTGCTTTGTGTGTTTAAAAAGAGTTAAGCAGGATACCTGCAATGTTATCCTCAATTATTTTGTATTGTTTTAAATTGACATTGTATTAAAACACAGTGTACCAGTTTGGATGCTTATGGCTTAAATGCATAGGAAGGATTTTCAGATCCTTTGCAGTAAGCTGTAGAAATATTCTGATGGTTTAACTACCACACAAATATATACTGGCTTTTGAACCCCCTTAAGAATTTAGCATGTCCCAGGACATAGCAGGGTGAGCTCAGTTGCTGGAAGAGCTCACCCCAGTTCTCTGTTGCCTTCAACATCTCTAGTCCAAATACTGAAGCGCAGTGCTGATATGTGGGAAAATGCAGCATTATACAGAATTGCATGGGCTAACTTGAAAATCTCAAGAAGTAAATGAATGCATGCAATGAAAATTAAATGAGATTTATATTGCAGTGTTCAGTATCTAAGGCACTTTTAATTACATATGTAAGGAAGTGTATTCATCTAAAGCGTATTACAGCAAGCGACATGCCCCCTCTAAATTGTGTTAAAAAATTAACATGCTGATTCTCAAGCTGGTGCAAAAACTGTCAGACTCCATTGATTTCAGCAAAGCTATGACAATTTTCAGCAGCCTACTACTTACCCAAGTTTTTCAGTCTCTTACTTTTCATAATAAAATAAAATCCCCTGGGTGAAATTTCAGCCCATCTCTGGTGGACTTCGAGAACAATCTGTCCCTTTCCTTTTCACTTCAACATTTATGTATCTCCACCTTCCTTGTCTCCCTGCAGAGACTTTCTTTAAACTACATAAACCCACTACTTCTGTTTTCCTCTTTTTTTAGGCCACTGATTATTTATGTTGCTCTCCTCTGGAGTTTCTTCAATTAGCCTATGTCTTTCCCAAAGTGCAATGCCCAGAGCTGAAGCCAGTGCTCCAGCTGAGGCCTCCTTGATGCCAACTAGAGTGGAAGAACATGCTTATTTACACAGCCCAGTGGGGTGTTCGGCTTTTGTGTGGTGCTGTGATGTAGTTTTTACTTCATCGTTTTTGTTGCTTGTTCTCTCTCCAACTCCTTTTAGTAAATCTGCTACCTTACCACTCATCCTGCATCATGCCTTTCTGGCTGTGATTATTCCTGATGAGGTGGAAGCAGGCACCTTTCTAAGGTGATATTCCTCTCACTAGTTAAGGCAGATACATCTGTTTGGTTGAAGTTAATCCTGACCTCCAGAAATACACAGATAACCTGTCCAAACACGGTGTATTTAATAGGTGTATTCCTTACTCCATAATGGAGAAGAAAATCGTAAAACCAGCTTCTCCCAAGTTGGAAGGGACCTCAAGGATCATCTGGTCCAACCTTTCTAGGTAAAGCATGACCTAGACTAGATGGCCCAGCACCCTGTCCAGCTGAATCTTCAAAGTCTTGGTGCTGGGTAACCCACCACTGCCCTGGGGAGATTATTCCAGTGACGGATTGTTCTCATTGCGAAAAATTTTCCTCTTGTGTCCAATCGGAATCTCCCCAGTAGGAACTTGCGCCCATGACCCCTCATCTTTTCCATGTAACTTCTTGTAAAAAGGGAGTCTCCATCTTTTTGTAGTCACCTTTTAAATACTGGAACATAGTGATAAGGTCTCCCCTGGGCCTTCTTTTCTCAAGGCTGAACAAACTCAGTTCTCTCATCCTTTCCTCATACGACAGGCTTCTCAGTCCTTGGATCAGTGACCACCGGACCAAAGCCTGGAAAATTCTTGAGATACCCCTTTGCTCTATGCATGGATAATAACCTGGGAGAAATCTCACCAACTTCAGTGACATTTCTGACATGTAAATGAGCAACATAAATATATGCTGCCATTGCTATTCAGAACCCAGGGCTGATAATACAGAGAGGATAATCCCAGTACACAGTGGGATCTCAGGATGACAGGACACCTTATCAGAGTCCTGGACAATGACTGATCCACCTCCATGTATACACATTCATTTGGTTGCAGACAGGAGGCAGACAAGGTACAGTGGTTTAACCTAAGGTACATTCAAAACATGACAGGCACCCACAAACTCCATAAACTCCATGGGTAGCCCTGATTCAGTGGCCCCTGTGTATTTTATGATTTTGCTTTGCTGGTTAAAAAATGTACTAAAAAAACCAACCAAAAAACAAAACCCCACATCCTTGGAGCAAAATACAAACCTCCAGCTGAGAACTACCATGGAGAAGTTACGGGATGCTGAAGTAATAATGCTGGGATACTTCCTCACACACACTTCCATAAGGATTTGATATTTGCTTTTCAAAACATGTGCATGTCACACTTCTATGTTGTAACAGAAGAAAGTTCCCTGCCGTATGATAAAGGCTCGTGAAATCAGAAAAGCTTAAGACCTCTTTTAGCCCCAAACTTGCTTTGCTTTGAGAAATGATCAATCAGGGCTCATAAGATCTTAGAGACAGCTAATTGGAGAACACCACCTCTGAGATCCGTGGCCACTTTCAACCAGCCAGGAAACACAGTTTCATTTACCAGGGCTCCACTGCTCAGCAGGATCATGAATATGATGAAAGTTTCAAACCAGTTGTGTTCAACGATTCTGTAGCAGGTTTTCCGCAGCCTCCACCAAATTTTGCCTGGAAATTTTGTGATGTCCACTGAGCAGCATGGGAAGAATCGCACACAAACTGAAAAGGAGCAAAATGAAAACAAAGCAATTGTTAAAAAAACACATTTAATTCTTAAAGCTGCAATAAGGATCTGCTCAACAAGATTTCTTCTAGCAAACTCTGCTGCATGGAGTCTTTCCTTCTTTGTTTTTCTCACCAACTTCTACTTGCTCTGCCTTCCATTTCTCTCTTTCACTTCTCTATTAAAAACTATTCAAAATTACTTAAAACCTGCCCCAGTGATTTCTCCCAATCACTTTTATGATACAGAATATATTGGCCATGAGTGACCAGTGCCCCAGGTTGGTCACGTTGTATTAGCTGAGCTCAGGCAGCACCCCGATCAGGACTAATGACTCTAGCAGGGTATTACCAATAGTTTCTGTATCCTTTTGAATGGAGGAAGGATATTTTCTTGGAATTGAAATACCGTTAGAATCACTGATTAAAAGTGTCAATTTGATAAAAGGGTGATGAGAGGTGGAGGTGCTACAGTGCGGATGGGACCAGTGTGCTGAAGAGACTCAGACAGCAAACAAAGCAGCAGATTTTGATCTCTTAGATTTAAACAAGGCATTAGAGCAACTTTGGAAATGTATTTAGGCAGTTAAATCCCCTTTGATGTCAGCAGAAATTTAGATATTCGGTCCACAGCAGGTTCCCCACGGATGCTTCATAGCACTTTCGGACCTTAGTGACAAATACTGTGTGATAGTTAAATGTTGTGGTCGTAATGGGGACCACACAAGGATTTCTGATAGGCAAAACCATGGCCATTTTTAGCAACATTCGTTTGTTATAGCACAAAGATCTTGTCATTGGTAATGGACAGATCCATCTCTCCCTTTTTAAAAAGACCATGTACATTGCCTTGTGCTGGTCTGGAACTTGTGTGAGAGGACATCCTGGTAGCCAGAAGTTGTCCTTTTCCAGGCTGGCCATTCAGCCTTATGTCAGGAAATTTGACTCAAACTTCACAACATTTGCTCATGAGAATGACCCTACTTTATTTTCAAAAAGCAAGGCCCTTACTCTACACTTAATCCATGTATTGTATAAAAAGAGACTTAGATAGGAGCTTTATGAATCCCATCATGAGAAAAAAAAAAGCATAGGCCAGTTGCTTCTGTAGCTGAAAGGTGGCCAAGGTCACTAAAATGTCTTGAAGCATACAACAACTGCTCAGAAGTGCCGAGGGAGGACTTCTCACTATGGTGATGTAATGCTAGTAGAAATAATATTTAGGCAAGGAAGCTTGGGAAGGAAAGAGGGTGAGTGCCAAGGTTATGCAGAGAGCAGATGCTGCTAATTCAAGGTGGCATAACTGAGGCGCTTGAACTGCATGTGATATATGAGGAGATCAAGTGCAACTTTTGCGATGCTGGGATTCCCAAGCAGATGGAAGTGGGGCTGTGCTGGCAGCAGGCTCTGCCAGGAGGAAGATAGCCACTAAGTCTGCTGCAGTCCTCCTGGCATTTTCTGTAAGATTTTATTATCCCAGATCCCCACTATTATGTAGCAAAATTGTAGGATGTTTCATACATGAACCACTCCCAGAGCTCCTTTTCCCCTTACATTCTGTCTAAACGCCTGCATCACACAGACACGTACCAGTTCCCAGTTTACCTCTGTATTCTGAAATTCAGATAAATTCTGGCCTCAGTTGGAATACTAAATTAATCAAACTTAGGACATAGTGTTAGGAGAAGATAGAAATGCAAGAACCAGCTCTTGGCCTCTTGGTAGGTCAGGAACCACTCCAGAGAAGGAAAGTATTATCCTAAGTACTTCAGTCCTAAATGCCAAAAAATCTTGTCAAGGGATAAAAGGATGTCATATTTATCCCTACTTTTTGCTAAAATGGGTACAATGCTCATAGATGGTAATGTGTGTGATTCGGGTACATTTTAGGAAGTAGGTACACAGAAGAGACTTCAAGTGTGCAATACTGCATGATACCAGGATTCCTAACATACTCATATGGCTGCTCTGCTTAGAGAGGCAGTACAAACCCACCAGCATGACATGTCAGAGGGGGCAATTAGTTGAATCCCCTAGCCATGCTGCCAGAAAACTCTTACACTACTTTGCACTCCACAAGCTGTATGGTCATTACCATCTTTCAGTTGTCTGGTCCACACTCTGTCCTGTTATGCAGATACACTGGCCACCTCACTGTCAACTCAGCTTTGGACCAGGAAGGCCAAAGACTTGGGCTCAGATCCCTCATTCATCAAACGATCAGCCTAATAAGCAGGTTGTTCACCACATAAGTGTGTATTTCTCATGTTAAGCAGAAATCCCCCTTTCTACTCGAAATAAACATTGCTTCTATCAGAAAAAACTTCCCACAAGCCTACGTTGTTCTCATAAAGAGTTTTAATTTGGAAAAAATCAGCGTTTTTTCTGACTGTGCAGAAACTTTCTCCTCTTTTCTCCTAAGTTACTTCCTAGATGGATACTTGGCTTTTTTTTTTTTTTTTTTTCCTTCTCAAATAGATAAATGCCTAGGCTCAGCTAGTAACAGGCATGATATGCTCTGTCATGCTCTTACAGAGTAGAAATGCTCTGTAAGTACCATTGGAAAAGGTTAGGATCTTCCAGGAAGTGGTTTTCCCCACTGTAAGACAGTTGGATGAATCATTCCCTGGAGGAGTCTTCCTCTGCCTTTTCACAACAGGGGAAGCCTACATGATTACCTGAGCCCAGGCACAGCTAAAATTAGAGATCACCTTCAAATTGAAGACTAATGAGCAGGACACTGTGAGTTCCAAAGCCAGTTCATTTGTGATGGAAAATACTTCCAAAATAGTAAAACCAGGCTATTGTTGATTCAGTCAGCTTCCATCTGATAATCTACAAGTACAGAGAGGTGCTTTTAAGACAGAAAACCAGCTAGTACCTCTAATATATTTTTTTAATGCTTTTTGATGGCTTTCATGCAATTCCAATCTGAAAAAAAATTCTTAGTTACTGACAGTAATACCTTGAAAAATCCAAAATAGCTTCTCAGATGAGTCAGCCTAAAATCACAGCACTATTAAATCTCATGCTTTTGATTGGGCCCAATTCAGAAATGTTTAGACCATATTCTGATAAAATTTCTAATGTCAAGTAGCACTTCCGTGAATAATCATGCTGGCTGCAGTTCAGATGAAATGCTATTTTTAACTATCTATAAATCATATGGGAGAAAAGAAAATGCAAAGAAAAAATGAAAATTGACCTAAACCAGGTCCTTTAATGAATTATTAAAGTTCTATTTGCAGGGTAAATTTTCTGATTTTCCTCACTGACTGCTATTCATGCCTGTGCTTTTCTGGACTCTCTTCCAATGCTGGTAGCCTACTGTTCTGGTGACTGTCACTCAAACTTAAATGTTGAATTGGAAGCTTCAAATAACCCAGCCAAAAAAGTTTACCTGACCTTGGTCAGCACTCTAATAGATTGTGTTTTTTCAATTTCTGTAAAATCAAAATATAGAAAACATACCAATATCTAAGGCATGAGCTGGTCATAGTCTGAGCAAACAAAGCTCCAGCTGGGTTCTATAACAAGGCAGGTGATCAGCAGAGCCCAGCTTCAGGTTTTGGAGGCTACTTTATCTACACAAAGACGACTCTTAATTAACACCTTTTAGCACAGCAAGTGTCAAGGCACGAATAGACCCTTTGACATTTCTTATAACAGCATTACTCATACTGTCTTGTCTAACAGATTTGTGCTATCCCCCTGAAATCAATGCTAGTAGGGAATGGCTTGCGCAGAAACACCTTGTGATTTAGTCAGGACTTAGTTTTGCCACTGTAATTCATGTTGTGCTATATCTTTTTGAAGAACAAACTGATTCATTTCCACCATGGCCTTTTGGGTAATAGGTTACTGCTCAACAGAAACACAGAACAGTAGAAAAAGTTCCCCCAAAAGGGTCTACTTAGTTGTTGGTAAATCAGTGATGCTGTACTGAGCTGCACCAGTGGACAACTTGTCCAAGAACAATATCTGTTTTCAATTCACATTTGAAGATTACATACAATTTCTCATAAAACAGAGACCTATTTACCAAGAAATCTTTTCAAATGCATCAGTATACCATGATGTTATTTTCTTTTTGTTTGTTTTTCATAAACAAAAGTGTTCCATTCAGTCACTGTGATGTCCTATAGCACAATCACAAACTGCATGTTAAGAGTGTGTCCTAAATTGTGGTCTCTATTGCAGGTGTGGCAGAGACAGCTCTTACTTAAGTATCTGCCACAATGATAAACAAGTTACTGAGGGCGGCAGAAGGGAGGGAAGCAGGAGGAATTTAATTTATAATACATTTTGTATAAATATTCCTTTGGTTCTGCATTCACATTTTCTAGCCTGGTGCATTATAATCATGGAGCTGTTAGACCTGATTGCATTACCTTGGTGCATTGGGAAAAAAAAAGCCTTTGTAAATGTGAGAACTATACTGCAAAAACTTCCTCCTGCTTGCATGACAGCCAAGTCTATTGATTTCAGGCTTATGAATAAAGACTTTATAAATCCACTGCTTGTTCACACCAATATATACGTTTACATGGAAGTATTAGATATGTTTTGGATGTATTGGACTGATGATTCTCTTCAATAAACCAGGACAACCTATTAATTTTTGCTATACTGTGGTCGAGTAAGACTGGTACCTTGTGTTCAAACTGCAGTTGTTTTGTTACTACCTTTACACAGGAGTTCCTAATTTTTGGGACATTCATTTTTAGAAGAAAACAGTATCTTGCTTAGCTTTGAATGCTGGTTACAGCATTGCTTGGTTTGACACCAAGAAAATGTAGCTTCTTCAGAATAAACTCAAGCAGGCAGGTATTCATAATGCGGTTTTAATATATATATATCACTGCCAAGTAGGGTTTCTAATGGCTAGCTGTGTATGCTCAAGCAAGCAAGCAAGCCTGGCTGTCATCCCTTTGTGAGACCCCAGCTGTCTCCCCAGGCTGAAGCGAACATGGTGTCTGCAGACACTTTTTATTTAACCCCTTTCTCGTTTTTTGGCCCCACTGACACACTAGCATGCATGGCTGGATTTTATACTGTGCACCTCTGGGGCTAACAGAGGAGAGATTCGCCATCACTGTCTCTGGCATGTGGGTACCTGAGACACACATGGAGATTTGAGTCTTTTCTTATGTGCTAGAACTGGGTGCTGCTAAGAAAGCATCTGACAAAGCCGTGGTCTGCCATGGTGATTTTACTCTACCAAGGGTTTTACAAGGGTACATTTCTTGTTACTCTTCTCAAAACATATCTTTTGGACGTCACTACAGTTAATGGTGTGACGCCTTGAAGCAAAGGCAATGGACAGCCTGGTCTACCAGCAATATCAGCCCTGCTTTGAGTAAGGGGGTGGACAAGCTGAAATCTAGAGGCCCTGTCCAACCTGAATTAATTTATATCTCTACATGCAATAGGGCTGTAAGACTCCTACGGTGTCTGAAAATTGTAAACAAGAAAACACTAGCATGCCCATCCTGATGGAAAAATACACTATCTCAGGTATTATGGCTCAAAAAGATACTATAAAACTTGGGTTTGTTCCATGGTATTTTTCTAGGATGACAACATATTTTGTTAGGCTTGATTTGGTTTTACTTAGCTTTTAAAAATCATCTGGTGGTGGTCCCTGTAGTTTAGTTTAGATTTGTCCAGTTTACCGGTCTGTTTTTGCTCCTCTTTGCTTTTTTATTTCTAAACAGCCGCTCACTGAGGTTGGGGAAGGCATGACGCAGATCCCACCATTAATCAGAGTGACTTCACTGTATCGCATGGCATTTTCCAGCTGCGATAATTGCTCCTACATGGTCACATGAAAAACTGGTTTTTGGCGTCCTTGGTGTCACGAGTTGCATTCTACCGCGCGTTGAGTAAGGTAGTTCATTCTCGCATGAGCATCTGACCATACTCCTTTGAAAGCTTTGCCAGCGGGCTGTGTCCAGGGAATTACGCTTAAGGACTTGGTGAAAACTTTCTCCTATTAGGGTCTGGGAGAGAGGACTGTGCTGGGGCCAGGGGGCTTTCTTTGGATGACCTTCTGCAACATGTAGAAGATAATGTCCAAACAGATAGCAATTTCTGATGCAGAGAACACATACCAATGGAGGTAACAGGACTGGAGTGTTGCAAGGCATCTGGAGGAAAAAATACCCAAGTAGCTGGCATTGTCTAGGTGTTGCTTTCCCATCAACTGGCAACAAGAATGATCTCTCCATTTCTATCAGGTTTTTCCCAGCAATACTTGCTAGCTGCCAGAGCTGTGACCCTACCATGGCTTCACATTTCCTAACCCAAGAATGTTCCCCATTGACCCTAATCAAATCTATTTTGAGATGATAACAAATTAACAAGTCTCCCCAAGAAAAACAACCTATGGCTTATCTGGGTCACCCAACTCCGGGAAAACTGTGACCTCAGCAAACTTTCAGCAACTATTTCAAGAACATGCATTATCTTCATTGCCTTTGTTATCTGAAAAAGGGGTCTGAATCAGGAACATATTTGTTCAGGACATAACGTATGCTGGATGAGTTTAGAAATGTCATAGTTTGAATTTAGCTAGCTGGTGAGCTAACAAGGTAAGAAGAACTTAACCCTTCCTTTCTCACTTTTCTTTTTCATCTCACCTAATTTCCTTCTTTCACAAATATTACCTGGTCATTCTGCCAAATATACCAAATATGCAAGTCAGTAAATGCAACACTAGGTAAACTTGCCTAGTGCATGACCTTCAATACTTTCATTCTAGTACTTTCTAACCATGTCATATCTTAGCTAACCAGACCGTTGTTTGTTGGCTTGTTTGAATTTTATCTAACTAGACTGAAATGATAACTGCATGAGATTTGATTGCAATGGTAAATTTGGGTAAATATATTGGAAAGTATTTAATAGAAGAAAACTATAGGAAAATGTTTCCCTGCATAAAAAAAAGCAGGTGTTAATGTCATTGTAGTAAGAATCATTTGGACTTTCAGCTTATGGCACTTTGACTTGAACTTTTCTAAGCGAACATCCACATGTCAAGTTTATGCATTTTTGCTGAATCCATGAGGAATGTGATCACATTTAACCTAAACAAGTAGCCTCTGAAAAATCTGTATGGATATGTGCTGTACACGAAAGCAGAGCAGATATGTTGGGGAAGATGTCACCTGCAACTGTGTCCCCAGTGTCCCTGGACACCCTAGAGCAGGTTTTCCTTCAATTCCCATTCATAGAATCATAGAATAGTTAGGGTTGGAAAGGACCTTAAGATCATCTAGTTCCAACCCCCCTGCCTTGAGCAGGGACACCACACACAATAAACTATGTCGCCCAAGGCTCTGTCCAATCTGGCCTTGAACACTGCCAGGGTTGGAGCATTCACAACTTCCTTTCAGATATCAGGTCCCACAGTGCCTTTGTTTCTACGCTTCTCTGCTGCCAGAATGACGAGTGGGCTTCAAAACTGGCTTAATGCTTCCAGTGATCCAACTAGAAGAGCACCGTTTGCTACCCTGTATCCCAAAGACAGCAGTGGAGAAGATCTGACAAACTGGGTTGATACTGATGTGGTCCTGCATGATGGAGTTCCAGGCAGTTATGGTTATTTTAAGACAGAGCAAATTTCAGAGTGCTGCTGTTCTAGGAATGAATCAGGGCTGCGCACTGGATGAAGTGATGGGTTATGTGATGGCTGCATTTAAAAACTGGAAGGTGATCATGGCCAGCCACAGGTTCAGAATTTGTAAACTGGCATCTGACTAGCACTGGTCTTACAGCACTGGCTTGTTTAAGCAATTATAATTTCTCACTTTGCAGTGCACAACATAGACAGCTGCTCATTAGCCTTATTAAGAAATATATTATAAAAGAATGAAAATACCTGATCTAATTTCTTAATGTTATTATATGGGCCAGAATAGTTACACCATGCTTTCTTCTGTCAACTGCATTAATTTTTGGCTACTGCTTTTAAACAGAGCTGCCAAAAAAAATGTTTAGATCCTAAGGACATTTGTAAGCCCTGCAGGGCTCCCTTACCTCATTCAATCATCTTTCTCACAGATACAGAGATGCACATTTCTGCTGACTTCAGGGGCATTCATATACCCAGGAAATCATCTCTGTCTGATCCCATCTGAGCAGCTCTGGTTTTATTTATAATAAACCTTGAATTTTCAAGGGAATATACTAACATTCAGCTAACCCTATTTTTCCCAACCCAGATTTAAAGGTACATGAGGAATATGACTGAGATAATATTTGGAATAGAACTCACTGTGAGAAGAAATACCTTGGGATGTTATTTACCTTAGAGATTTACATTAAAATAGATCTGATGTTGCTGGGCCTTAAACCCATGTTTTGGAGCAGGCTGGTGTTAAAAATTAATAAAATGAAGGTGTATTTTGGTATTAAAAGAGTTATGTAGTTGTGATTTGTTGCTCTCTAAAATAATTGAGTTAAATACCATGGTCAGATAAAAGTTGCTGGACATGCTAATATTAACAACCTTTAAAGTAAATGGAAGAATGTCCCTAGGACTCATGAACTCTCCATACAGCTTCTGTTAACTGCCTATATACATTTAAGCAAAAGAAACATCCTAGACTGGTGAGTTCTCTACCAAATTTGATATGCACATATATTGGAAGGCAAAAAGTCTTCATTGGCCAAATTAGAAAAATCAACATTAAAAAAACCCCAACAAAACACTTTATGACACAAATTGTGATTTAAAACCAGTACTTTAGAAGGTGCATAGCCTTGCAGAGCATGCTTTTTGGCTTATCTCACCTTGGAAATCCAAAGACTAATGAAAACAAATGATTTTGGTTGTGTGTTTGGAGCATTACAGTACCTAAGAACTAAAGTGCATCCAGTGCAATACTACTGCAAGCAGCCAGAGCAACATGGTGAGAAGGTGGAGAGATGTTCACTAAGAGAAAAGGAGGTTTCTTGCGTCAGCATTGCAGTGAAACATGCAGATATGCAGGCCCTTACCTTCGGGGAAGCAATCTTCAGGTTCCATCAGCTCTTCAGCAAACTCAGGGATCTGCTCCAGCAGTTCTGCAGGATTTGTCAAATCCACTGTGCTGCCTTCAGAAAGACTGATTTCATCAAGCTTGTTGTCAACAAGAGCAAAGATGAGGAAAACAAATTGATCAATTGCCCCGAAGGAAGTAGCTGAGTTTTTATTCCACTAACCAATATCCCAGCTAAAGCCACTACAACAGAGACATCTCCATGCACTTCACGTGGTGCCCACTCCTTCAGTGACAGCTCTGCCTACGCTGCAGTGAGCTAGCAGTTGACCCATCAATGAGAACAACAGAAAGCTAACATGTAAAACTTACTTTTTTAAACAAGAGAGATGCAAATTGTAGAAAGACAGTGAACAGCCATTGGATATTAATGGTAGGTGGAAGCTTGGAATGACAGAACCACTCACGATTTTAAGGCTTGTATGTCCTGAAGGCTCATTCCTTCAGATGGGAGGAACCAGAAGTGGGACCTAGATCCTTAGGCTCCTCACCCACAGCTGACAGGTGAAATCTGCACCTTGTCTGTCAGGACCGTGCTCTGCTCCCTACTGCCAAAGCTTTTCCTCCAAGAATAGCAGAAGTCCCTCTGTCACCAGGGTCCGGTCACACGATTCTACAGGCACATGCATGTGAGAGGGCTCTCCCACCTGCCTCATCCCATGCCTAACTTGTTCCCACCATGTGATGTTGCCCCTTGCCTTTTGGCCATACACTTCTGATCTCAGGGTGATGTGGGAGGAGGGACACATTCATTGCTTGCCTGAAATATCTGTCACCATCATTTTAGGTGCACTGTTTGAATTCAGCATTTCTCAAATCCTTCTCTGCTAAAGGGGGACAAGAAAATTCCTAATCCCTGAAGCACTGGATGTCTTATCTATTTAGAGGAGGAACACACAAGTAGATCCGGGTAAAAATTGCTGGGGAATATATTATTTTAAAAAATCATTTTAGAGGCTGAATTTGCTATTTAAAGAAATATGATATATGATTAAATATGTCACTCAAATACAAAACAGAAATTTCATTTCAGGTCAAAACTTTCTTTAACAAAATCAAAACATTTTCTTTAGAGGAAAACAGGGTTCTCCTCTTCCCCCTATTTTATTTTACTAGTCAAAATAAAACATTTCAATTTTGTGTTAATCCATAATTATATTTTACTTGACTATTCAACTTGGCCACTAAGTAATTGTATTATTTGCCCAGCCGTGCTCACAGTTTGTTTCTGACTGTATTAGAGCACTATCTGGCATAAGTGGGCAACATCAAAGCTGGTACCTTCTATGGGTCATATCATGCAGAACAGCTATAAACAGGAGTCAGGAAAGTTGGGTGATTTGTTAACTGTCTTCTTACGTTCTCTGAGTACCTACTGCTATCTTTTTGTGCTTTATCTTGCAATAGTACCATCTCCATTAAAAAAAATTAGGACAATAATACTTACCCATGCTTTTAAACAACCTGTGAGATAGTTGTATGAGAGATGGCATGAACACATAAGATACTCTTTTCGTGAGGATGATGGTTAGAGAATAGGTACCGCTTTACATATTTATTATTAATGTGAAAATAGGTCCTCTGTTTTCCAATATAGACAATCAATGCAAAATTTATTGCTGAATTCAAAGAAATGTTAAAGCTGAGGTAAAATGGGCAAGACTGAATGTTCCAGAAATGCTTGCAAGAGGGGATGGAAGCTGCTTGTTTGCACTTAGCTGCAGCATCCAAGAGGTCATAGTCTTGGCTAGGGTTTTTAATGCTCTACTCAAAAGGACTGCAAAAAATTCAGAAGGAGCCTTTTAAAAAGATAGTCAGAACAGAAAGCACAGGTCAAAGACATGGCTAAAGCTTCTAAAAAATCCATATTCAAAATGCAGCTGTGGTACAGAGCCCATTTTCTACAGACTACCAATGGTATATGATGGGGGAAAAAATGTCAAATTTTAGCACAGTCAGAACTTTCTGATACTGTTCATTAGGGAATGCATTTAGTCATTATCTGTTCTGTTATGAAGACATCAAAACACAGATCACTGAAATAGTTCTAAATTGTATACAGCTGTAGGATGCAGAAAATGGGGGTTCCAATGAGAAAAGAAGCCTGTTGGATATAATTCTTACCAAGAGACGGAAATTAAAGAAAACTGTGAGAACAATGTCAGCTTAATAGCATTGTCAGTGAAAGAGCTGGATTTAGCAGACACAGGTTAGGAAATTCACAGAACACAATACAGTGCAATTATAATAGACTACAAGGAAAATATCCTAAAGGATCAAGAATTCAAAATATTTATCAGAAGGAGTTTTAAAAATATATTAGAATCCAACAGTGTCAAAGGGAGATGGGGAACATGCAAGACAAAACAGACAGGATTTCTTCTGAAAAGCCTTCGAAGAAAAGGAGCAAACAGATTCGGAAAACACTATACATAGGTTTTAGGGTCTGAACTGGACTTCGTGTAGTTCATATGGTTCCAAGAAGGAACCATACATGTGAGAAAGGAGGGAAAGATAAGGAAAGCTTGTAGGAAAGAAGCAAAGGTTACTTTTTGCCAGAAAGGTTAAAGGGATTTAAGAAGGTTTTCATGAACTCAGTAAAAGAAAGAGCTAGAGACATAATAATAAGTGATGAGGCAGATGTAACTTGTCAAAATGCAATTGCTTAAGAAAATAAACTCTTCTTAAAAGAATCCAACATGGGGTCCAATAAAAAGCAGGGGGAGAGCTTGTCAGAATTAATACAAATATCTAGAAAGCCTAAAACATATGCAAATCAGCAAATCCAGACAATGTAGATTGTAGAGCATAAAGGGATGCAAAACACCAAGTTAACACACCATTAGCAATCAATAGTGAATGCTCATGGAAAACTGGAAATAGCCCAGGAGAGCAGCAAAATGTAAATACAATACTGATCTTAGAGAAGAGGAAAAGGGAATAATCATGGGAATTGCAGATCACTAAACACTCACTGTAGCCTGTGATTAAAGTAAATTAAATAATGACTCAGAGGAGAAAAGGAGAGTGCTTTCTTGGATGAAGTGACACAGAGGTGTAAAGGTGGTTCTGTATGCCAAGTGTACTGTGCACAAACGGGATGCAAAGATGACAAAAGAAGGTAAAAAGGACAAATACAGAATCTCCTCTTTCTTTCTCGGAATAAGTAAGTAGAGGATGTGTTCCAGGCAGAAACAAGGGGATCCATCAGAAGCCCCTTTGGGAGACCTCCTAGTGCATACATTCATGCTGCAGAGGTTAATTCTTAATGTGTTACTGGGTGGAATGGCTGTTTTAACTACCCAGAGAGGGCTTCCACACCCACCACTTGTATCTGTAACAGTGGCAGGTAGATCCGAATGTATTTTTCAGAAAGCCTTTAGCACTGAGATGCTGATATCTCATTGAAAATTGACGTTTGCTCAAGGCTTTACTCTCATATCTCCCTTCCTCTCTCCCCCACCTCTGAAGATCATAGTCTTAATCTACCAAATTGACATATGATATATAAACCTTAAGAAAATATCTGGATGTCCATTATATGAAAGTCTACTTTTAAAATAAATTGTAACTGGCTTGGATTCAACCATTGCTGGGTGAAGAAAAGACATCCTAAGGACAACAAAAACTTCATTTTCAGATGGGGAGATCTGTAGGGATTAGAGACAGCATTGTCTTCACTAGAGATATAGAAGAGGTACTGACCAATATAATCGTCATGTTTGCTGATAACATTAGTTCAAAGAGAGTGTTGAAACTGAGGAAGCAGAAAGGAAAGGAGAAGTGAAACATGGAGTTAATATAGCAAAAATGGGACTTGACTTAAAACAGTACAAATGAGAGAATTCCAGGAAAATGTCAATGGAAATCCTGGAAATCTGGAAACCTGGACTAATATTAAAAAATTAGATGTGATTTTGCAGTGGCATATAATAATGCAGAAAACCTACATGAAAGCTTCTAGGTAATGAGATACTCTTTCCTCTGTTTATGGTTGGAAGTTGTATTTGGAATATTGTGCTTACTTTTTGGTAAAAGAACTCCAAAAAAAACAATTGAGAGAGTTGTAAAGAAAGACGTAAAAAAAGTCATATAAAGGGCATTTACAAGAAATAATGTAATAAAAGAACAATGGCATGTGACTTCAGGGGGTAAGCCAAAGACAAAAGGAAACAAACAACAGTCTATTAAATTAAGTGATATTAATTCATAAAAAGGGAATAATATATAAAATTGTTAAAAGAGAGTAATTAAATGGCACTTTGAATGGAAAAAAGACGAAGAAAAAAAAAGGCTGGTTATTAAGGCAATACACCCAGCCATGAGATTTTTTTCTAAGCAAGTGAATTTTTCCCTTTGTTAAACGAATAAATCTAAGTTGCCTGGAAAGATACATTTAAAGGTACATTCCACATTCCACCAAAAAAAAAGTACAAAATATTTTATGGGGCAGTATTTTGGCAGAGAAATCCAGCAATTTGTCCTCTGATGTCTTATCCACTTGTGACATCAATTATTTTATTTCTATGGTGTCTTTCTGATGATTTATATAGGATGAATTTTTAATCATATAATGTATCCTTTACTGATATCAACAGTGTTTTATTCAGAACACATTCAATGCTTCCTGTTATTGATTGAATCACTCAAAGCCCTGCCTTTTAGGCATACCAAATCTGTTACTTCTTCTCAGTTGCTGGCTTTATTTGGCTAGTCACAAGTTCTTGGGACATTCATCAAAAAGATGATTAGCATGTCCTTGTGTCCTGGCACAAAGATTACTTCTGAATAGGAGGACTTTAAGTATGTAATGTCCACACAAGATCTGGCCTTCAAAAATAGCATCCTTTGGGCTTTGCTCTTTCATGTTGGCATTCATAGCCTCAAGTGAACTTCCGTTTGATTTCAAGTCATCCCTGGATTATTGCCATATTCCTCCATCTCTTTCTAAGCAGCTGCAAATAGAATCAATTGTACTTTACTATAGAGAGGTGACATTTATGTCCCACAACCCTTTGAAAGTTGAGGGAGGAAATGAGGATTATTTCTTTATCATGTTGCTGCTGAATATATCAAGGCTAGAATGTTCCTGATTTATCATGACATTTCGTTATAGCACTAAAAAAGGACATACTTTTCCAGCCTCCATGTTAGGATCACAGGGTTTATTTATCACAGATATTTAAACGTGAAGGATACCTAATCCCCTGAGAGAAAAATTCCTGAAACTGTCTTCTATTTTTTCCAATTTATAATGCTTCACCTCATAATTTTGAAGTTTTGGGTTTCTTTGGTAAATGTATATACATTTTTTTCCTGAGGCTGGGATATCAAATATTTAAGTCTCCTTCCTGTAAAGCTCAGAACCTTTCGATTCTGAAGATAAAGTTCAATATAACAAGAAGTATTCTAGCACGATCGTTCCTTAAAGAAATGTTTCATGGCTAGAGGATTTCAGGTTACTGTGGGTGAAATTTAGCTCACCTAAGTGTAAAACTCATCTAGTTACCATGGGCTCCCTTTATATTTAATGGAGAGAAAGAAGTACTTTCAGAAGATGATTCACCTGACCTAATTGTAATGTTGATTTCAGTCAGAGATGAGACATATTTACCTGTCTACACTGGCTCCAGATCCTCACTGATTATAAAGGGGTCTCAGATGACAAGTTCAGATGCAGATGTCTACATATAGTTCAATAAATTACACCCCATATGACAATATAAATCAGCAAGCCTGGAGAAGATGAACTCCAGCTTTGTGATGTGTCTGTTTCCTGCTGTCCTGTCAAGATTTCTCCACGGGATTGCTCCTGCTGGGCACAAACTTGCCAGCAGTCTTTTAGCAGAACTGGGAGAAGTGTGGTACATATTGATACTAAGTCATCCTTTCCCTTTCATTAATTCAGTTCCCCAAAACCACCACTGGTTCCAATATCCAGGAGCTATGGAGTTCCCCAAACTCCCAGGACATCACCTAAACCCAACAATTCCACCCAAAACCTCAAGATTTCAAAGAGGGGAATCCATCACTCTCTAATACAAAAGGCAATGTTATGTCAATAAAATGATAAACCTAAATGGGAAAGAAACCCAACAAGTCAGCAAGTAGGATACAGGGAATTTAAAGCATGGAGTCACTCAGTGTACATTACAAATGCATGTATTTTTGGTATTCATGTTTATAAGGATGACATAATCCTAAAAATTGAAAATAAACCTCCATGTGTACACATCAAGAAACAATGACTGAGCTGCACTTTGGCCAATGTCAACTGAATAATATTACTATTTAGTTAGCCTGTATCTTCATGTCAGCTACTTAAATTATGTGCTAACAGGAAAAGAAATGGTAATCTGTGACAGATCACAGGTGCCCTCCGGTGAACTCAATGTTCAGATCTGCCAAGTCAGCAGATGCCAGTCTCATTCAATTTTCTGCTTTTCAGTGGGAAAACACTCACATATTTCCTCCTAAAATAAGACAGTAACATTAAAGATGATTTTATGCTTGGTTTTGGTTTTTTTTTCTTCCCAAAGCCTCTTGGAATCCCATCTTAATTTACAATGCACTTTTCCCAAGCTTTACAATGATTTTTATAACAACAAAATCCTCTCTCATCTTTACTAAGACTGTAATACCTACTACATATTATTGCTTTCCTACCACTTGACAAACATGTATTTTTACAAGCCATTAACCCCACGTAAATCAGTGACATGCACTATGGAGCTGGTGCAATGAATTGCATGCAGTATCAGGTAGGAAAATTGTTTCTGTTACCTCTTTTTGCCCTACTGGAGGTGGTGGCTCAGCCTTCAACTGCTTATCCATGTGCAACTCACTTAACTCTTCACAAATCTCAGAATTCTGACTCCGGACGCCTGGGCTTTGGCATCGCTGCCCCCTCAGCTGCAGCTGTTTTTCCTGCTGGAAATAATCCTAGATGGGTTTATTTTCTTTTTCTTTGATAGCATGCTTATTTCATAAGGAGAACTTCCCAGCTAGAAGAGAAAATAGCCTGGACTATTCTTGTCAGGGGACAACATCTTAAGGAAAATGGCAAGAAACAAGATAACAAAAGATTATGCTGTAACTTTTGAGCTTTGGAAATTGGATATGCCAAGATATCTGGCAGTAGAAAACAGAAACACAAACAGGCCAACATTTTTTCTGAGCTGTTGTTGCTGACATGGGAAGAAATCTCCTTGAAATCTCCATTTTGAGTCTGGATTTGAGACACAAGCTTCCTCCAGAGACCTGTGGTGCACAGGAAGGTGCTTGCAGTTCAGTCGAATAACTGAGGGGTGTAGTCTGAAGTCGTGCCATCAGGCAGTGATACTGAGTGTTACAACTGGAGAAAGGCACGAGTGTAATACCCAACACTGTGCTTACGTGTCTGCTTGAAATAGTGTGGGGAGGACAACCGCACCGGGAGGATACTAGACACACAGTGAAAGAGAGGAAAATGCAAAGTTCACTAGAACAGATAAAAGACATCTAAAAGCAGATGTGGAAAAACTGCAAGTATGCACGTAAGTGTATGTGTCTCCTATTCATCAAAACATTGCTTTGTACCCACCGATGCCAATGGGACTTAAACACAGATTAAAAGAAGACCACATCCTTAAGTACTTCCCTAAAAAGGGATGGACTCTGGGATCAGAGCAATAGTTTTTTTTTCTGCACACACATCTGAGTAGACCCAGTGCTTGCTAGTATGAGTGGTGCCATTAAATGCAGCCGCTTCTTCCTGGGGTGATGATTATTGCTGCTAAGCTCTCTAGAAGTGCTCCCAGGACTAATGGCAGAGGAGAGCATGTTTGCAGGGTTAGTGTCTACATTGGGAGGCCCAAGTTCTCTGCTGCTGAAAATCAATGTGGCTTTATTGATTCACCTAAGACAGGGATTTCTCTGAAAACACCAAAGCTCATCACAGCACTACTATCGTTCATGCCATTACTAACTCTGCTACTGAAATATTAATAAAGCTCTAGCCGGTTTCAAAGGTTGAGCTGAACTGCTTACAGAAGGACTTCCATGCTGAGAAAAAAATTACAAGCATAACAGCATTTCAACAGTAATTATTTAAACCTACTTATCTTTTATTTGTCCACCTTTTTTTTTACCTTGGCTTGACTGACATTCAACATTATTCATGTATTAAGTGAGTTTCCCTTCCCCAGGGAGCCACAGCCTACCTGCCTCAGTTCTAAAGCCACATCACCACAGGAAGTCCCTCAAGAGGTACCAGGAGCAGAAAAACACTTTATTCCAAATATAACTATCTGCAAGAACAGATGACACAAAGGAAGCAGTTGGTTAAGCAAATTGCTCTCCGTATAAATACTTTTGGACTGTCAGGTTTGTACCAGTCCTTTGAAATGTTGTTCTGTGTTTCTAGCAAATTAATTTAAAATCAAATTACTTGTTTCCTGCTTCAGAGGGCATGTGGTCTAAAATATACTCTAACTTTAATAAATGAAATTATGCATGTCCAAGCCTGAACCCTCTGCATAAGAATGTACTACATACAATTTACAGGCATAGTTTAGCACTGATCTTCACAGGCCAGAGACTGCTCCATAATCACTGAGTTGCAGTTCCATCCTTGTCAAAAAAGTAACGCTCTTTAAGGCTCATCTTTGGAAATAGTGTAGTATTCAGGGGAGAAGCTAACATGGAAGGCACAGTATGCACAAGGCACTCAGCCATAAAAAGTCTTTTTATTTTAATGCAATGTGCATATAACTTAGTACCAAGTAATCTTAATGGCATGGTATTGGTTATAGCACTAAAACAACAGAAACAATCGTTTCATGTTAAAAGTGCAATGCAATCTGAGGTGACGTTTCAAGTTTATTTATGCAGAAAGGCTGTGCACTCAGATTCATTAGAAACTGTGCAGTGTATGAGAACAGACTGTAACTCAGTTGATCTGACGAATATTCAAATTGTTAAGCAAATTATTGCACTAAGCTAGAGTCAAATGCCAAACTTACGCCAATTCTCTATCTACTACCCCCTCTGTGTGGTACCAAGACTTAGCACCACTTTTCTCCTAGGGACTAAGCTCCAGGAAATATGGACCCAGCTACTTTCCAGAAATCATACCAAGTATCTGATGAGTTAACGTTTAGTAAAACTGAAGAAATATATCCTGGCAAATCATCCAATGGGGACAAAATGCGTGTGTGCTCAAGACAATGATTTGGTTCAGCACCATGTGTTTTGAGATTTGTCCTGCAAGTTTGTAAGGTGGGAAGAAAATCTCTAAAAGAAGCAGACTCTTCAAAAGAAGCTGGCTGTATAGATTGATTCCAAAAGGACTCTTAGAGAATCAAATGAATTTTTGCAAGCAACTGATGCCACCCCTAGTAAGCCACTCTCATGGGTTGCGACAGTCTCATTTTCAGCACACAGCACTTGAAGATCAGCACAGACCTGTCTGGGGAAAGGTGCCTTTGGTTTATGTTGTTTAACTTTGGGCTGTTTGCTTTTGTTCTGATTCCAGATGATTTATTTTTCTGGCAGCAATGGCAGCAGGTTTATCTCCTGTAAAGCTCCCCACCGTGGGTGGTTTATATAATTTGTTTTTAATTTTTGTATCAAGTGCCATGTTGCCAAGGCAATACACATTATGTTAATATTTATTGATTTGGTTGTTTTCATAATTTATAAAGTAAATCCATTCTGCAGTACAGTAACTTTGTGCATACAAGCAGAGGGTTGGGAGCCTAGGACAGACCTCAGCTCCTTCACAGCATAAACCAAAAGTTTGCACAACTCTGCTCTGCTCTGGGCTCTAAAAAGAGGTGATCTGCTAATACCAGACCAATAATTAGCACATGGAGGAGGATGGACCCAGTGTTGTCCCCTTGCATGCTGCAGGCCAGTTGTAACATCAGAAAAACAGCAACCAGATTGAAAATAGAGCATAATCTGGGTGACATCTCAAGTGTGTTTGTGCACAGACCCACATACTTGTTTGCTGACACAAATAAATACAAAGGCTCCACACTGCGTTCTGCCTCTGAAAAGCACAGATCGGCTAATTGTTTCAGGCTCAAATGGGGATTAGTGCAAATGCCGCTCCTTTGGAAAGAGGACTTGCTGTTGGCAAAACAAGACAAATACCTGTCATCAGCACGGATTCACTTTATTCCTTCCCCATGGAAATATCATTTTTTCCATCCTGTGCAAACAAATTTAGAAATAGGATCTTAGGACTTGCCTTTCAGATGGTGATCAGTTCAAATGGGTTCTTCTGATGCTTCACTCAGGCCCTAGATCATGACCCTCGCTTGTAACATTTGTTCCCTGATTCCCTGCCCATGACTGTTGTGGGAAAGAAGATGTGAAAAGCCTCTGATAGCAGAAAGCTTCCTGTCCCAAGCAGGTGGGGAGGCAAGGTTTGGGAATTGGCTCTGGAGCTCTCTCCATTGCAACTGCCACTGCAGAGCCAACAAACATGGATGAAGGATGTGGCACGAAAAAGTTAATTTAAGTTATTTTATGAGGTGGGCAGGGTTTCCCCACTGGTGAGACAGTGCAAAGGCAATCTGCCCTTTACTCAGTCAATGTAGTTGAAGTCAACTTCCCAATGCAATGAGAAGCTTCAATCCTACCTATCTTCTCTACTCCTCACCAGACTCATGCATTCCTCAGTCTCCCTGAAGACCAATTTTGAGACACTGAATAGGATTTCATGGATGTTCAGGTTCTGCAATCACTTTCCAGGAATGAGCTTGTCAGGACATTTCCAGATGTAGATTCAGAGTGGTGGAGGCTTGTCCTGGTCTTCCCCATACAAGTCTGCACACACTTGGCCACACAGGTGGGACCCTGCTTTACCGTGGGATACTGCCCGTCAGAGGAAGCAGCAGCAGCAGCCAAGGATGCTGGCAACAGAAATATCTCTGCTTTAGCCATTCCTACATGACTGACACTATGAAACTGAGCCTCCTCAAGAAATGCAGCCCAATAGATGACTATTTATTTATCTAAAATAAAACATATTTTAGCCTGCAAAGCTTCCTACAGCCAGTTTTCAGATACCATGATTGGAGTCTGAGAAGCTTTTCATGTATAGTAAATCCAGTTCAGCAGAGTGTCATGCATAGTTACAAGGGCTGTTTACTCTGTAAAGTAATTGTTGATGTTTGTGTTCCCCCTTGCAGACAGCTATGGATTTCATAAAATTACTCTGCCTGGTAGCAATTGGCATCCTTTCTCAGCAACAGTTTGAGTCTAGTAACTGGCACCCTTCCTCTGCAATGAAGCCAAGAAGTAAATGATCGTGAAAACTGAACTGTTTATATCCTATCTCTACACAAGTGGAGAAGCAAGCAGATTGTAATGGTGCTGAAATATGGGGAGCTTGCATTACTGCCTTGGTGGCACCTGTTTTGTGTATAAAGTAAATAGGAGACTACATTCTGCAGAGCTGTTGGGCTGACAACTCTCAGATATGCTGAATTCAGCCCTTCTGGAAAGCCTTGAAAAATCTGAGCTAAAATGGGAGAGAAATAAATAACCATGAACCAAAGAAACAAATCCTGTGTTCTTATTACCAGAACAGTCCATTTATGATCTTGGTTCTCCTCTTTCACAAATAAATGTAAATCCTTGTAGCACCAATAAAATCAGTGTATTATCTTTCTGCACATTTAGCATGAGAAGAAAGATAACCAAATACATTAGGAAAATGCCCTTGCTTCCTCAATATGAGAACGGGAAGATTAATCTCACTTATTCTGCTAGGATAAAAGAGGGCTGGTGTGCAGCTGTCAATTTTAAGTGTGAGCATTTAAGAATCTCTCTAACCCACTTTGAAGAATTGCTTCTGTAAAGCAGAGTTGCCACTACTCAGTTGAATGAGAAATCAGAGGAAAACCTGGAGCAATACCACACTATAGCACTAGGATTACAGTTAAAGCACA